ATGAAGATGATCATTTTCTAAGGTTTCTACCTTATATAGAACATGTGTTTTGATTTGGCCTGAAATGTGGGCATCTTTCCAGTACCCTAGGGTTTTAGCCAGAGTGGGTGGCTGATGTGAGGGTGACTCTCAGGAAGACTCTGCTGCCCTTTCCTAGGACACCTTGATATTCATGTAACACTCCCTACACCACACTAGGGAAGAATTAACTGTTTTTAACTGTAAAAAGAAAGCCAAGGGTGTTTTAATACTATAGAAGTCAACTTTCTCTGAACTGGTTTTTAGGCTCTGGATTTAAAGGTAACGTCAAATACGGAAGTATTCTGTTAGGGCAATTCTAGGGCCCTAAAGAAGAAGAAGCTTTTAAGATTTCCTATAAAATCCACTTAGTTGCAAAAATTGCTTCAAGCACAGAAAGAAGCACCAAAAAGACTTTTAAAAGATCATTAACCCATTAAGTTCCAAATTTTCAATATTTGCACTCAATAGGTTAACATTTGTTGCTCAATTTAAGGTTTTACAGATGTTCCACATCTGGGACAAAATGGATTAAGATAACTCTGCTCTTGGGGTGGGGGCAGCAAACAATATTTTATACTGCAATTTTCACCTGGACCTTTGGGTGTTTCATTGTTAGTATACCAGTTGCTTACCTCCCATGTCAAGAAGCAGAGCCCAAACCATCAGCCTGTATATACCCGGAATATACTTCAACTATAAAGAGCCCCCTTTATTCCACTGTTGGGCCGAAAAGGCAACTTTCACTTCCTTAATCATACCACACAACACATACTGAAGAAAAAACTTACGGTGCTGAAACCCTTTCAGAATTTTTTCCTAACATATTTGTCTTTCAAGTTCAATTAAATCCAGGAAAAATTAAATATCTATGTGTTGAGATAAAGCCAAAGAACACTCTGTATTTTCCAGCAAAAAGGAGATTTTATAAAATGCATCCCTATTAAGTACTTGTCAGGCCACATATTCAAATCTTTGTCTTGGAAATACAGTCATTTCAGTCATGGGCAACATCAGGGTTAAAAATCTTACAATACAGGTGTGACCACCCGTACCTCACATAGTTTTCCCTAAATCTGAACTCTGGAAACATCACTCTATCAACTTCTGTCACTGACCCCAGAGTGTTGCTCTTTAGTTACTCTATGACTTTACATAGTTAATGGGTCATACAGTTCAAAGGTGGTATGGCCTCAGGCATTTCACTGAGTACTTATTGTCTAATAAGAATAATAAAGATTCCTAATAATAGTGAGATAATAAGATTAGAGAAAATTTTTCTTTTTTCTAGAATTTTGAGTTTTTATTTTTATTATTTTTTAATATAAAGAAAGATATTCCTTAAATTTAGAAAATGGGACCCACTTAGAAGTTGAGTAGGCTGAAAGAAAAAGGACCATCACACATGTTTAAAGTTAAATATTTTACTAGGCCTTTATCACCCCTGCCCCAAGCATGGTGTTTAATGAAGGAGGGGCTCCCTTCATATACAACAATCGATTCTTTTGTTGGGTGGTGGGGTAGTTAGGGGTTGAACTTAGGGTGCTCTACCACTGAGCTTTTAATTTTTATCCCCAGCCTTTTTCGTTTCAAGACAGGGTCTAAGTTGTCCAGGTTGTTCAATTTGGCAATCCTTCTGCCTCAGCCCCCTGAACAACTGGGATTACAGGTGTGAATCGCAGGCCTGACTACAAATCTACTCAAGTTCCTCAGGCAAAAGTGTAAAGAATAAAGTTTTCTCCAATTTCCCATCTACATTCCACACATTTGGTGACAAACAAACCTTCCTAATTCTCAGAAGATCCTTCAAAAAATTAGTTTCCTCATATCATATCTTTATCTGCCATAAACACTTGGGTAGAGAAACATTCGGTCAATCCAGTGTCCAAAAATGACTTACCATCATTCAAAACTAAATGGTTAGAAACCATTTAGCACTTGCTGAATGCACACAGTATGCAAGATACACTACCCAGAGAACTTGAGGAGTCCCCTTCTCAATACTTGGTCATTTAAAGATGATGAGAAACAGAAGTGGGGTTGAGAGAGTAGCTCAGCAGTAGAATGTTTGCCTATCATGTGTGAGGCCCTGGATTCTATCCCCAGAATAACAGTAATAAAGATGATGATGACAAAAGTAAAGATAACAGTGGTATAAAGTTAACTGTCCAGTTACAAATCTTAAAGCAGCACTGTAATCTCACATGTGTTTCTGTATGGTCCCAGATTCTGTAGTCCCAGCAGTGACCTCACAGAAAATGGCTTATGATGACCAGCAGAATTATGAGAGGGGTCATCTTCCACTTCTAGGTTAGAACTTTGGGTACCAAAATTATTAGTATCCATTAAGCTCTCAACTGCAGATCCACTCTTGGGCTTTGTGATGCTGAGGTAGGACTCTTCGCACTGTTCACCTTTCCCAGCTGTTCCCTGTCAGTTTCTGTAGATAGAAAGAACTAGGAGACTAAGAAGCAGGAGGGCAGAGAGAGAGAGAGAGAGGACATGCACTCTCCTGTTTGTAAACTGTTCTTCTCAGCACTGCACTGTTTTAAGAGCTATAGCTCACATAATCCTATGTAGTGTTCAATGAAACCTAATGAGGAGGCTACACTAGAAATGAGGAAAATGAAGCGCAAAGAATTTTAAAAACCTGTTCAGAAATCATATAACTAGACCACCCAACTAGAAAGTAGCAGAGCCAGGATATAATTTCAAGACTGACACCCAAAGCTACAATGTTTCCTACAAAATAACACTATAAGGCTTCTTCCAGGTACTCCAAGCTGTTCCACAGGCCTATTTACACTGTTCAAAAGTAACTCACTAAAGGCAAGTGCTTGCTTTTTTAACTTCCTAAATCTTATTAAGTCCCTTTTCCTTTTTCATGCCTCTTCTTATCTGCAAAACAGTATCATTTGTCCTATGGAATGTCCCACATTCTGAATTTGGCTATTTATTTCTTTAAGGCATCATTTAATCTGTCCCTCCAACATCCATATTTCTTGTAAAATCCAAGTTAAATGAAAACAGAATCCAGTCAAACCCCTTTTTGAGGCAAGAATATTTTGTCTATGGTGCTATGTATTTTCTACTCCATCAAGTCAGGAGGTACATAATGTCTGGTTGTTCCTCTTTCTGTGATCCTAAAATTAATCAGTGGATTCAAAGCCTAATCCTTCCATTGTAATAGGAATCTGGAACTCTAAGTGCAAAATTACCACAGTCTACAGTAAGGCTTAGGCCCAAGACAGCCAGCACACCCACTATAATGGTATAAATAATGATATATAAAGTGGCCCCTCTCCAAAAAGAAATAATAAATGGTATTCACTCAAGTCTTCAATAAAAGGAAACACAAGTTCATCCCACTCTTAACAGGTCCTTAATAAATTTCCTTTTGTTGATCAATATATCAAACAATTAATAAATGTTTAAAAGGAGATCAATGATGAAGAGTTCCAAAATCTAGATGCAAGCTTTTTCTGTGTTCTTCCTTAATTATTTTAATCTTTTTGCCCACATTTTCCCATTTGAAAATGAAAATGTCACCAACTGGTGATACCTCAAAGGACTATGGAGAAGGTAAAACAAACAATGAAGGTTAAGAAAAATTAAGTTCAGCAAATAAAGGTTTGCTTTTCTTACTTAGATTTTACCCTGAATGAGGGAAAAGCTTGAGAAGCCACAAATCTGAATAGATACTATGAAAGAATTAAAAGAAAACTCTGCCATTAGCCTATAGCAGAAAGGCTAATGTACTAATAACTTATCTAAGATTGGCTGCAACTATTAGACTATTTCATTAAAAGTACATTATATTACATGTAATTCTTGAACAGAATATCATACTAAAGCACATTTGAAAACATATTTAATATGGCTCATCCTCAAATAAGGGTATCAAACTGCTAATCTTGATACCATGACAGCAGATTTGGGGACCCAATCCCCAAGCTACTAAATGCCCCAAGCAAACAATCTAAAACAGGAAAATGTAGGAATTTAATCTTTTATCCTTTGTAGATGGAAGCAGTGACTTATTTTTAATACATAGAATAACTTGAAACATTTAGCATATACCAAAAAACTAATCCTTTCCTGCAAAGCTTAAATGCAATAAAATTATTCAGAAGATAAACGTTGCTTAAAACATTCTGAGCACAAATTATTTGTCACCAACTGAGGGACCTTGGGGGAATCAAACTGTAGACCTTCATTCCTCAACTCACCAAAGAACCTTTTTAATCATACTTTGATTTTTCTAAGTGCTCTGGTTTAGTGACCCATCACAAGTCACTTCAGAAGACTGATCTGAAACACACAAAACTAGTTACTTTTTGATTTTTATATTTGAAATACATAAAAGCTGAGAAGTTTCCCTGCAGCACCTTCTCTAAGGCAGGTTTTAAGAACTTGCAGAATCCATCATCTGGAAGAGTCAACTGACATTTTCTTTGATCTCTTCATCTACTATTGCCTCAAATTCTCACCATGACATCCTTACAATGCTTTAGTAGATGCTGACACAGGCTATTCAACTCTGCTACATAGTTTGTGTTTATACATCATCACTACAGTGCCACCATCTGAGCAAAAGGAAGCAGAATAACATTTCAAAGTAAAGTGAAGGTAGCACTACTCATCTTTTTAAAAAATTGCTATGAGGGAACTTCGTAGTTCAATACAATTGACAAACTCACTAGGAAAAACTCAAACCAACAAGATCCTGTCCAGATGGAATGAGGAAGATAACCTGGTGATTCAAGACTATGTCAACTTTTTTTTTTTTAATTTCCAAGACAGATTTGTAAAAGATATACCATATTATTAGGAAGAAAAACTCACATCAAGACACAGGCCGTAAGAGAAGGATTTTTGTTATAGCATACCCGAGAATTGAAGGAAGGAGAAAAACCCCTGAAAAAACTAACAGCAGTAGACTTTGATATTTGGATCTTAAATTCAAATATAGAAATTCTTACCTCCCACTGTAAATGAGGCGGGATATTTCGTATCTGAAGTTTCCGAATCCTGCAGAAGAATTAAAACAAAAAATTTTAAGAAAAACACAAAAGCAAATGTTATTAACAGCCAACATGGAAGTTTAGAAACTGTATGAAATACCAATATCTTATTAACTATACACCAACATATAATGAGAAAATGTAGCTCAATGAAAAAGTTAATTGCAAGATGCATATTGAGACCATTTGGGGATCTGGCATTATTGGGTTATTATGACATTTTAAAAGTCACTAAAACTAGCAGAAAAAAATGTTTGAAAAACATTTTGTTGGATGACTACATTCAAAGTTCAAACACTTTCTCCTAAAATTAAGCCTCACAGGACACAAAGTCCAGATGTTTTTATTCTGAGATCACAGCCAAGACATGAATAGAATTAAGGGAACTCAAAATTGGGAACAATCGGTGAGAATCACATATTTTCACTACCCCCTGACAAAAAATTAACACTGTCTTCAATTATGAATGTAATAATAAATCATGGAACTATAATACATGTAATTTTGATATCAATATAAATCAGATATTTTCGTGTCACATTAAGTTGTTGGGAATCTTTAAATATCATCTCCACTTACTGCGGTAAGATGCAAATAAGATTGCTAGAACTTGTTACTTAACATTAAGCACAATATTACTGAGTTTTAAGTTTGTTAACTGTGGGGCTGGGGTTGTAGCTCAGTGGTAGAGTGCTCGCCTAGCATTCACAAGGCACTGGGTTTGATCCTTAGCAACACATAAATGTAAAATAAAGATATTGTATCTACCTAAAACTAAAAAATAAATATTTAGGGGAAAAAAAGCTTGCTAGCTGTATTTCAAAGTTATTTGTTTCCTTTATAATCCCTATATATTTCATACATTTAAAAAGATCCTAAGAAGAGGTGTATAGGTTTCAGACTGCCAAGAGTCCATAGTAGAGAAAAATGTTAAGAAACCCTACCTTAATCCAAATGCCTACATTCACACATACAATTATGTGAGACTGTACTAGAGATGCCACATACCCATAGCCCCTTAGTAGTAAGAAGTAAGTAAGAAGTTTTATTTATCTATTAAAACCAATAAAAATTTTGTGGAATCAGGCCTCTCTGACCACATTAAATATCATCTTAAAAAATAAAATAATAAAAATAACAACAAAATCTAACAGGGGGCTGGAGTTGTGGCTCAGTGGAGAGCTTGCCTAGCATGTGTCCAGCACTGGGTTCAATTCTTAGCACCATGTATTAATAAATAAAATAAAGGTCCATTGACAACTAAAAAATATTAAAAAACAAACACCCTGACTGGAGATATAGCTCAGTTGGTAGCATGCACAAGGCCCTGGGTTCAATCCCCAGCACCACCACCACCCCCCCCCCCCCAAAAAAAAAAACCCTAACAATGGAATTTGACATCAAGTGAAAAATTAGACTTCTTCAACTTATAAAATTTAAAAACTACAGTGAATTTCCCTTTCCAGGTCAAATAATTCATGTTTTTCAAGTTCCACAGCAAAACACCAGTTTACACTAAAGTCACAGACTAGTTCTTTGCCTCTTCCCTTTCCCCAAAAGCAAAAGAATAAATGCCGCAGCTGCTACCTATTCATCTGAAATGCCAAGGAAAATATAGATGAACCAAATTCAGGGGCACCCTATTTGCAATCATAAAAAGGATAAGGAAAGGGAGAACCACTATGAAATCATTTTTATGACAAAGCAAAACAAAGCAAACCATCAAGGAGCAGTCTACCAAAGAAATGGTAAAGGGAGTATCAATCTAAGGAAGGAAAACAATAAAAAAAAAAATTAAAAAAAAAAACACCATCTACTTAGAATTTGGAGATTAAATACTAGTTTGAGATTTGTATAAAAATAACTCAAGTGTTCATAATTGTAAATACTGTGGAACAGGGACTAATTTTCTATAAAAAGCTTAAAAGTACACCCTAACAAAAAAATGTTCCAACATACAGATTTCAGAACTGTTATATATTATTTTAGCTGACATAAAAGTTACTCACACTATGTAAATATTTACTCAGGGTAACTAAGGATATAAGAATCATTTGCTACACATATGCAAATACTCATCTATTTTAATCAAGCATCTGACACCATAAGGATAGGAAGCATAGTTTTAAAAAATTAAGTATTCACCCCTATTAAACTCAATTTGGGGAGTACAAAACTTTTCCCAAAAAACACATAAATATACATGCTGAACTGAGGTCAATTAGCAGATGATTATTCATATTATAAAAACAAATATCAACTTCTCAGGGCTTTCAGGAAATTCTTTAAATAAGATATTCTTTTTGTAACATTAAAAGGAATCCATTAGCTCTATTTTCCAAGGAATTTCTACTTATTCTTCAAAGTGTACATTCAACATTTATTTACTTGAAGTTACTCCAGAATAACTAGTTCCCTTAAATGGTTGTCCAGTTTCCATTATCTGATTCTCTCAAGTTCCATTTTAGACAAACATAAAAACTAATTCCATACAGTTAGTGTTCTGACATCTAGAATTCCATTTGCCCAGAAACTAATCTCACAATTTTACCTCTGATTCCTCGGCTCCACTCTTATTAGTACAAAAGCCAGAAGACTCAACATGAAAACGAACCAACCTATGGCATAAATGGTACTCACAGAGCACAAAAATATGAACTTCTGCTATGGAGAGGACTTGAGAAACTCTACCCCACACCTGTGCTTATCAAGTTAGCTGTATACCGTTAAACACTATCACCCACTTCTCTACCACCTCCCACCTGAGCTTTTAGAACTAGGTTTTATTTAAATTTGATTTAAATATTTAAAAGTCAAGACAATAAATATTGATGTTTTAATTGACTGTTTCCACTACATTATTAAATTATTAAAGCTCAATTCAACCATCAACAAAATAGTGTTTCACCTCCACCTGTAACACATATAAGCAGGCTGCATACTCCTTAACAACAGGGAGTAAATTAGACTATCTTGCTCACTGTTGCATTCAGAGTCTAGAATAGTGCTTGACACCTGATAAGCACTCTATTGATAAAATCTGTTATAATACATAGAAGGGAAAGAAAAAAAAAAAATCACAAGATTCATGGATCCGCCACCAAGAAACATTTCCAGTGGTTTTTCTTGCAGCTTATAAAAGTGAGAAAAACAACTACTGCACTTAGGTTTGAGGGAGAAAAAAACTGAATTATTGAAGTAGTTGCATTACTTAAAGAAAAAAGCCAACATAATCTATTTATAAATTAATTAATCATTCGGAATCATAAGGAAATTTAAGGATTTTCTCTCGAGGGAAAAATGGGATTAAAGTTCTCAGACTAACAGATAAAATTATTTTTTTAAAGGCTTACTGTGGGTCTGGGAGTATAGCTCTATGAGACAGCACCTGCCTAGCATGCAGAAGATTTTAGAGTTCATCCCCAGCACCACAAATAAAACAGAATGCCTAACCATGCTTGAATATTAGTTACCATAAAAATTCAATAAGTTATTTATTAAAGCAGATTTAATTACAAGATAAAGAGCCAATAGAGAAGCTCATGTAGATTCTAAAGAGCATCTTCAAGTTCTTTAGTAATTGCTGAATATGGTGGCTCACATCAATAATCCCAATCACTCAGGAGACTGAGACAGAAGAATCACAGGTTCAAAGACAGCCTCAGCAATTTAGTGAGACCATTAGCAACTTAGCAAGACCTGTCTCAAAATAAAAAATACAGGATGGGGATGAAGCTCAGAGGTAAAGTGCCCTTGGGTTCAGTCCTCAGTACCAAACCAAAGTTTACTAATTGATGGAATTTGATTTTCTATAAATTTTCAAATTGGTAAATTAGAAAAACTAGTAAAATGAGCATCCATATATCCATTACCAGCTTCAATTATCACTTATCTGGATCTTGTTGATTCTATACTTAACAGCTCGGCCAACATGTCCTATTTACATATCAGATCATGCTGAAATAAATTAAGTAACTGTGATAAGGATCTTATTTCAACATAACTACAAATCTACTATTGTACCTAACAGAGATTACCAGAAACTCCTTGTTATCAGATGTTCAATGTTTATTCTCAAATGCCTGATATGAATAAATAAATTGGGAAAAATACTTATCAATATCTCAAGATGCCTATATGCATGAAACTGACATGTCTTTTAGGTTTATTTAATACAAGAGTTTCCCTACTCTGTTTTCTTGCCATCTATTTGGTAATCCCAGGTAATAAATCCTATTATCTAATTCTGGATTTTACATATTGCATCAAGGCAGAAGGGTATGGTACAGCAAAGCTGCTTTCTCAATGTGTCCAAGAACCAGAGAGCAAGTAAGAGCACATGTAAACCAGGTGCCAGGGATGACACATGCCCTCTAAAGCATGCCTCTAGTGACCTACGTCCTCCAACAAAGCCCCACTGCTACAGTTTCCACTGCCTCTCAATAACACCAAATACAATTCCTTCAATTGATTAATATTTAATTGTCCTTTAATGGACAAATCCTCATCTGTCTCAACTTCAAGGAGTCCAGCCAGGCACAGTGATGCACACCTGTAATCCCACCAAGTCTGGAGGTTGAGACAGGATAACAAATTCAAGGCCAGCCCAGACAACTTAGCAAGACCCTGTCTCAAAAGAAGAATTAAAAAGGAGCCAGATGTGTTGGCACACACATGTAATGCCAGCTATTTCAGAGGATGAGGCTAACCTCAGCAATTTTGCAAGGACCAACATAGCAAGACCCTGTCTCAACAAATAAAATAAAAGGGGCTGGGGATGTAGCTCAGTGGTAGACTATCCCTGGGTTTAATGCCCAGTACTGAAGAAAGAAAGATCCAAAGACATCATTCTTTCTTTTCAGAATATAACTTAGTGTCCTGGCATTGTCCAAAGGTAATCAAGTATTTTAGTTTTTTTCTGTTTCATGAAATCACAGATTCATAAATACTGTATATATTAACCTATTGCTCTAATTCTTTTTGATGCTCAACCTCCCCCATCTTTGG